AGAGAGAGAGAGAGAGAGAGAGAAAGGTGGGGGACTACCCACACCTACAGACAGTAGAGATTCTAAAGTCTTCAAATCTTTAAGAAGAAGAAAAAAAGAGCTAGACATAGCTCATTCTGGCTGCGAGATATCTTAGCTATTCTTTGTCATTTGCGTGTTCATTTTCTAGTCCCTTCCTTCAATATTTATTGATTTATGGATTTTTTCATAGTTTTCTTATTTTTTCTTTGGGAGGAACAGATGGTGTCTGCTATTTCTATCAATTCTCTATGAAAACAAAAGGAAAAAAAAAATTAGAAGATATGGGTAAAATATATGTGGATAGAGAAAAAATGCAAGTAGGCCTAATTCTTAGACAGGTCTCAAGGCAGTTGTAAGATATTTGACACCCTTTCATCACATATCTCCTCCACTTTACTTCATTTCCCTGGTTCAGACTTCCAATGTGGCTGCCTGGCCGTCTGTCTGTCTGTCTGGCTGTTTGCGTCTCTCAGTCTGTCTCACTGTCTCTCTCCATCTCACTGCGTCTCTCTCTCTCTGTCCGAAATAAGGGCAAAGCGGATACAAAAGGAGAAAGCATTAACACTTGACACAGACTCAAATAGCCTACTTCCCAGCAGGAAAAGAGAAACGAGTCCAGCAGACGGAAAACATGAGCACGCTAGACCCTCACAAACAAAAGGTTTCCTATTATAAATAGGACACAGGAAACTAAATTCAGCGGCCACTTTTTGCCTCCCCTCTCACCAGTCTCATCTCCCTCAATCTTCCCCCCCCAAGAGCACTTCAAAAATTTATCTATCTCCTCTTTCCTCCTGTTTTAGAGTGCGAGTTCAACGACCTTCAACGCATAAATAAATCATTTCAAAGACAGAAAGCACTTGGCGCAGAGGAGAGAAAAATGAAGGAAGAGGAAGGAAAGAGAGACGGTAAGAACGATGCACAAAAGCACTTACTTATCGATGAACATTCAAAATAAGACAATCTAGCCTGTCGTATAGTATGCAGTGGGTCTTGCGGGTGGCTGGTGGGTGCCCCTGGTAAGTCTTATTTCTCTTCTCTCCTCTCTCTCTTTTCTATTTCTGCGTGAAAGTCTCCATTTTTCCCTGCACTAAATGATCCTTACGGTATTGATGTGACTTTATTTTACTCAGTCAAATAAACAAACCAAGCAACCAAGCAGTGGGTCCGTTCATTACTATCCAAAGTGGCAGAGGGGGAGGCTGGTGGGGAAGGATGGGATCTTCCTATTGTATTGATCATAAATGCTTTACACCCCCATTAAGAGTACCGAGATCACTCAAAAAGGCAAGCTTCTTTGAGCCTGCCTGTCAGGACCACCAAAGGCATATCTGTCAGGACCACCAAAGGTATAATGAATACAACACCCCACCCCCAGACAGGTAAACTGCCGCACCAGAATTGAATTCATGTCCTTTGCAAGCTGTAGCGCAAAACCAATCATTACACCACAGATACTATAACCCACCCATTTATGTTTCTACTACCACGGAAAAAATTACATTTTTTCCAATTGAAGAAATGTTAAGTCCCATTAGATCATTTACGAGGTAGGCTGTTTCAACCTTGCCTAGCTGTTCATAACAGAAGAACTAGCATGTGAGCCCCGCCTCACTCATGAACAACTGTCAGTAACGTAAATACAGTTTTGCAAAATCGGCAGGAAGCAGGAAATCTTTTCGGTACATACAAATTTAGCTAAGTATGTGTTTTTATGAGTTTTTAAATACAACTAATATAACGTTTCAACGAAAAAATGAGATCCCGAATGTGTCTGATTCGCTATGTACGTGTTCCCTAAATACATGCTACATGCTGGACAGTAATTAGGCTCTTTGCTGTCGCACTCAAAAGCTAAAGCACTATTCTCGAGTGCAAATGTAACTCTCGAGAATCTCCACCTCATTAACTTTAGAATTACAAGATTCTATCTGCCATTTTTGAACGTTTTGAGTTACTAAGACCACGAGGTCAGAAGCCCAATTTTCTATCGGCTCTATCGAAATCATAAGATAATTCGGAACCGTTATCAAGACATTCAAAGAATTACATTTTTAAAAAGCTTTAAAATCAAATTTCTCAAAACTAGGTAGGCCAACAGAGGCCTATTTTGTATTTCTGAGGTAGTAATCTGTTCACCCCACCCCCTCCGTGTTATCCCTGACAAGCATGGTCAAATCAGCTTGCCTCTATTTTGGTCAAGATTGGGTAGATGGAGACCTAAAATATTTTATCAGTCAGTACAAACCAATTAATCAACCCGTTACAAATTTTCCAAGCTTTTTGGTGAGCCTTCACCTTAAATTACAATCCACCCCCAAAGTAAGCTTTTCATTCATCCAAGAGGGAAGAGTTAAGTCTTTTACAACACACTGCTTCAGGCAGCGTGCAATGATCCAGTACGCGACCAACCGGTATTTGTTCTCATGTTATCAGCAGCGCGTTCCACAGCTAGGTAAAACTAGAGCTAGGAAAAAAGCAAAGCCATCATCAGCCCGAGGTTTGAACTTCTTGAGTAGGGCCCTCCCGCGCATGCGCTGCCAACACACTACACATGCCACCGGCCGGCCGGCAGACATGTTCTTTTTCTAGGAGGGTGGGTGTGTGAATGTGTGGGTGTGTGTGTGTTTTGCGTATGTGTGTGTGGTGTGGGAGTGGGGGATTTTTTAGACCAATAAGAGATTTCCTGACACAGGGTCTGTGTTATATTTGAAAGGATTAAAAACCACCGCACTCCTGACAGGTGGCTTCTAATACCCAGAGTAGAGTGGTGGAGTAGATGTGGTGGAGTACATGTGGAGGGAGGAGGAGGAGGAGGAGGAGAGGGGGTGTTATAGCAATATAAATTCTCGGGTAGATGGGCAACAAGTATTTTTATCTACCCTGGATTGTGACAAGACTGACATGGCTCATTGCTGTACCGGCAGAAATCACAGGGGGGGGAAGAGGAGGTGTGTGTGTGTGTGTG